AGCGGAGCGAGCCCCGGGCCCGGCGAGCAGGGCCGCCGCTGGTGCCGCCCGGGCGGGCTCTGTCCAGGGTGCTGACGGGCGGGGCTGCCCACGCAGCCACTGCCCTGCCTGTGGTTCTTGGGTAGGAAACCCTTCTTACTTAGAGAAATCTGTGACTCTGGGGGCTTTGTGGTCTAGTAGAATATACAAGTTAATGGCGCAACTGCTATGTCACAGAGAAACGCGTCAAAGACTTTAAAGAGTGTCTTTTAAGTGGTGCTTGTCCTTGAGGTGGTTGCAAGGGAATGTAGGTTTTACAGTTTGAAGATAGAGCCCAGTTTATTCAAGAATATATCTGCTTGCCTGTAATCATACTGAAACGATCCATCGGCTTTTGATGCACAAGCAATGGAAAGAGGCATTGTTCAGTTGTTGAATAAATCAAGAAGATTTTTTTGTTGTTCTTCAATTAAAGCAATGCATCTTTAAAATAGTGCATTTTTAGTTTATGGAGTTGTTTCATATATCTTGTTTTAGTGGTGGTTACATGTGTTTTAAATGGTTACTGTACCAAAACGTAACAGCAGTAATAGTTGGAAACTGGAAAATGTCACTTCTAATGTGAAAAGATTTCCTTTCCAGTTTTTCCCAACTCGGATTTAAAAAACTTACCATTACATTTGATTAAATGTTTCGTTTTTTTTAAAAAAAGCAGTAACAAAGTAGAATGTTAATTTAGAAAGTCTTCCATTAGAAACATTTATCTGTTAAAAAATGTGGAATGCCAGAAAAAGTAATTTAAAAGTTTGTTTTTATTTAGTGAGACTTGTTGTGGATGCTGACTGTAAGGCCATTTGGAAACTTGAGAATCAAATTTATGTTCTTTGTATTTGCATTCTGCATTAATGCAGACTTTTTGCTTAGTCCATAAGTGTTCATCTATTTGAGGAATTTTACAGTGCGGCACATACCAGTACAATTGTTGTGCTATATCTACTGTTTTGCAGGAAAAAAGTCTGCCTCTTGTGTCTTGAAAAATGTGTGTCTCTTGTAAGCACTACCGGAGACAGAAATGTTAAGCTAGCTGACTAATTTTTGTATTTTTTTCTGTGTTAGCTGGAGATACAGATGATCCTCCAAGAATTACTCAAAATCCTGTCATTAATGGGAATGTAGCAATGGCTGATGGACATAACAACACTGAAGAAGACATGGAAGATGGTAAGTAAATATTCGATAAAAACATGTAGTTTGTTGGCTTCTTTAGAATTTTTGAGGACAAAATAGTCCATGTCTTACCCGTGTCCTCTGAACTGCAGCTCGTTGAAAAATTTAAATCCTCTGTAGTTATGCCTGCTGGTTTTCTGTGAAGACATCCTTTTAACGTAGCTGTACGATGGCATTAGGTAACTGAGGGCTTGTGATTTTTTTTTTCTCTTACTCTTTCTAGGTACTCATTTAAAAATTGCTGAAAGTGATAGTGTCCATTGTTATATTTTTTTTATATGTCCCTGTAAGCATGCTGCAGCTGGTGCTTTGCTGAATCTTAATTTTGTCAGTTATGCAGTTTCTTCAGGAGATTTAGAATCCTTATCTGTCCTGCTCTGTTGCTAGGTGGCAGCTGTGATCAGTTCTTCTCTTTGTATAAGAAGTCAGTGGCAAATATTGTGTTGAGGAATGTTCCCCCCCCCCAACTCTGCTACCCTTTTACTAGCAAATGCAAAGGAAGAAGTATGTATTGATGTCCTGTTAATAAAACGGGACAGTGATTGTGTTTTTCAATTTTTCTTGTTTTGTTGGGTTTTTTGTTGGTCTATTAAATAAAAATAAGCATGTACAGTTTTTCTGTTACAGAAGATCAAATAATTTTTAAGTAGATGTGTCTGGATTATCTGAAGAAAGATAATGAGTTTGTAATTCACTTAAGTCTGTTATTATATTCAGTGAAGAAAATGTACAATGATATTTTTTTTCTTAGGAGAGGATATGGGGGGGACTGCTCTTATTTTGGAGAACTAAATAAAATTGAATTGGGAGAAAGGAGACCAAATACAAGTGAGATTTGTTCCCCTCTCCTTATTTCATGGTGTCTTGTGGGAGTACATTCAGGACTAGGCTTAAACATTTATTTAGATTTCTGCAAAATGATGAGCAATTTTTGTCTGAGAAAAGTCAGTTTGAGGTTAAAGGTCAAAAAAGTGATTACTTTCATGTATTCAAGAAACATATAATAGTTAGAATACAGGTAGAAAATAGTAATGTTCCATGAAGAGAATATGGTTTAAATTTAGGACAAAAGCATCTCATGGTTGAATTACCTCTGTGTCATTGGCAAAGATGAAAGTTTCCTGTGATCAGATTCTTGCAATACAGTAAAAATGAGGTCTGCTTAGCCTATGAATATTTTTTGTCTGATTGCCTGATCTCTTTCAGGGGCCTTTGATTTCTTGCTCAGAGCTACTAGCTGAGACTGAAATAGGGAATTCTGTTTTTATCAAAATCAAGTTACCGGTTATAAAAGGTGTTAAATGTCTTTGTTGGGCCATGGTGTTTGGAGGTTGGCAAGAGAAGATCATATGGGTTCACACCCACTGGCAAGGACAGCAGCTGATGAAACCCAGGCCATATCGAGGATGGGAAGTAATCAGACATATACCTCTTCATTCAGAATGACATTTTTTTAACCAAAAAGCTACTGTAAAACAGTTTCTGTCATTTACTAAAGTTGACTCCTCTCAGGGTACTGGATACGAAGATGTTGTGGTAGGGAGACAAGTATCTGAAGGTATTTGGGAAAAGGCTTGTGAAAGCTTCTGTGTTTATGGTAGTACTCATGTCTTTGTGGACTTTCTGTATGGTCAGGGGCTTTGGTCCACTCTGCCGTGCGACATCTTTCAGGGTTCAAATGTGATTGTTAAGCAATACTCTAATAGTTGCTCATTATCATATTTGAATAAGGAGTGACTGGCTACATCTTGGCGCTGTGCTGGCTCTGTGCTGACACAGATAGAGAATAGTGGTATTGCAAAATGTTATCATTGCAAAAGCATTCCTGAAGACTTGCATCATGTAAGTGGATGATGCCTCTTTTCCAAGTCTTGTAAATCGGATTAGTTGGTTGCTGTTGCATTATTTACACATCAGTGCAATTGCTTTCTTGCTGTTTGTTCTCTTGGTATCCTGGTTTGCAGCACGATATATGTGTATGACGGACGTTTTGGAGATTCACAGGGTAGGAAAAAATGAAGGGAGACATTGGCCTCTTTGTTAAACATGCTCCATTTCTCGTGGCTGTTATTCATAGCAAGTAGGACCAATCTGAGCTGATAAAGAATGTATGAAGAGAATTTAGATACCTCCTCAGTAAAAATTTTAATGAGTTTAATGGTTCCTGTGGAAGAAGCGAAGAGTAGGCTAAAAGGTTGATGCTTCCAGCTGGATCATAGAAACCAGCTTTCTGGTGAATTTCTGAGTTTGAGAAACTTTTGAGGTGATTTTGTTCTTCCTGGTTAGCACAAAAAGAAATGACTGATAAGATTGGAAAAAAAAAAAATGCAGCTCTTATTCCCTTTGCTAGGCAGCTCACTACAGGCATTGTGAAGAGCAGGTAACGGGACAGCAGTGGAGCATCAGCAGGACTTTCAGATAAAGCTGTGTTCTCCCAAGCGATTTAACTAGAACCTGTTGTTGCTCTGTATGATGTCTTAGCAATTAAAAAGAACCAGCTGAAGGAATGTGCTATGCTTTGTACAAAGAATGACTCAATGAAGGGAGCTTTATGAGATGGAATATGAGATGGAAACTTCTTTAAATAAAATAAAAAAGAATAAAAACAAGGTTCTGATCAAATTTTGTTTGCAAGTGCATCAGTATTCGAAACAGCACGTAGAATAAATCCCCTTGGAAGTTAAAGGTCAAACAGAAGGTCCCTAGCTAAACATAAACTCACAGCTTTGCAATTACCTAGTGAAGTCTCATTTTTGTGAAGAATTGCAGAGCTAGGAGGCTTTCAGGAACATCAGTCTTAGCCATATGCTAGTATTGCATGCTGTATTTGAATCATTATTAAAATATTCATAGAATATTCAGCCAGTTTCTCTATTAATAATTCAGGTTCAGAATATTTTAATAACCTCAGTGTACTTTAAAGGTAGAAACACTTACTAAGAAAATAAAGAAATCTGCTTTTCTCAACACTTAAATATGTCCTTCAGTCTTAAAATGGATCGTGTTTTGTGTTTGGATCTCTGATTTGAAGGATCTTTGTCATATCAAGGTGCTGAATGTGACATTGATCTCATCAGTGAAAAAAATCTTTTCCACAGAGCAAATATAATCCATTGCATGTAATTTCACCAAGCATTGTCTGCTGGGTCTGTTCTTTTCCCCTTGTGTTCAGAATCATGGGTCATATTTGTAGTTCAGGGGTTTATATTCTTACTTGCCAGTCACTGCTAAATTACCCCGCTGCCAATTGCAATCTTTCCAATGGCAGTGTTTGATTGGAAACTGGTGGATGCGTCTGTGATGGTGAAAAAAGGTTTTATTTATTTATGTGCTCAGAATACTCATCACTTGCTATTTAAACTTTGGTTTTTAATACAATTCATGTTTTAATCGATTACACTTGCTAAAAAATATGGGTTTTCTGGAAGGAAAGGAAGGTTGTTATTTCAGGGAGTTGTTTTGTATTTTTAAAGAAACTTCTAATTTAGGGTTGACCTTTGTTATAAGGGTGCATTTGCTGAAATATTTTCCTGACAAGAGTACCCTTCCCTGGTGAGCTCTTGTGCACAGGCTTTCCTGAAAAGAAATTAAGAAATACAGGCAGGCTTTCTCTGAAGCATCTGCAGATGCTGCGTGGGCTGCCTTTTTAGCTGACACCGTAGCAGCGCTGCCGCATCCCTGTACTCTGAAAACTGCATCAAAGGAGGCAGAAAGCAAACTTGGTCGACTCATTTTGCAGAAGCTTAGACTAAACCCAGAAGTACTGATCTTGATTGTGAACAGGGGGGCGTTCTCGAGCTGGTTTGAGATACATGGTGCAAGACTGCTTTTTAAATCACTGTGTTACGTGTTTTTTTGATTCTGCTGACAAATCAAGTTTGAGAGCGTACAGCTCCTTTGGCTGCAGCCTGTCTGGCTCTTGGTCCTATAAGACCAGCTCTCTACTCTGTCAGCTGGCAGTGAGTAGTTAAAATGGGTAGGGAACAGTTTTTAAGTAGGTGATAGACTGCCAGTTAGCTGCACATGGGGAAAAAGAGAAGAAAAAAATCCTTTGGACTCTTCTGTTACTGAGGAAGCTGACAGCACAGGGGGACGCGAAGGTCATTGCAGGTGTAGAGGGGAGACAAAGCTGGTTTCTCCTGTAGTACTGTTACTTTCAAGAGATGATTGGGAATGTTTAGGGCTGTCAGTCTGTAAACAAATAAGATGGACTGTGTTGCAAAGATCAAGATCTGAAGTAGGAGAACTGCTTGAAAAGAAAACCCTTTTGCAGGGGACAAGAATGCAATCTGTCACAGCAGTTGTGAGGAACACTTGTTAATTTTCTGTATTGAAGTTTGTAATCTTTACAGTGTTGCATATTGTAATCAAGAGAGTTTCATTTTTTTAAGTAAGAGAGTAACCAGGGCTCACCTGGTTTTTGTGTTTTGTTTTGTTTTTTTAAATCATTCAGCACTGTTTCTGGTGCTGTGCAAAGCTTTCTGAGTGAACAACTGCTTTGCATGTACAGAAATAATACATTTGTTGTATACTGTGTGCCTTGCCACATAATTTCATTACCTGATTTCTGACTTGCTGTCGTTTTACCTCAGTGTTTTTGGTTTTGGGTGTCACTGCACATGTAAGATACCTGCTTCAGTTCTGCATCACCTGTGGGTGACATGAGAATAGCAGTCTGACCGTGGGTGCTGTCTGCTGCCCTATACGCTGCTGACACCTCCTTACACCCAGTAGCAAGTCTTTCCATGTTACACAGGTGTTAAATTGGAACCACAAAAAAGGAGGGGAGTGTTTTTGCACACTCTGTGCTTCATCCCTGTCCAGTAAAATTGTTGGGATATTGCAGGTTTTTCCTCCCTGTGTGCAATGTGAGACACGTCACAATAAAGAGAGCCCAGCCTTGTGCCTTCCTGGAGCTATTGCAGTCTCTAGCGCCCTGTTGTAGCTGTGTACAACAGAAGCAGAACAGATTGTGGTATATGAAGAACTGGGGATGTGGGAAGAAGGCAAAATTAGTTTCATTGTGTGTGTCAAAATAAGCTATTTAAAAAAACCCACCAGTGTCTTGTTTAACTTGTAGAGCACTAAGAATCTCTAAAATTTTCACCTACCACAAAGAATACAGGACTCTACTCTGGAGCTGTTCTGTAGCAAACTGGTATGAAATTTTTTAAAAAACCTCCCCAACCTACCCCTGGGTTCATCTGTTTTGAAAAGATACTGTTGCAAGAAGAAAACAACTAAATGGTGACTTGGTATCAATAGGGCAGTTGAGCAGTGAAAATAGGGCAGTGAAAATCCTTTGCACATCGTGGTTCATGCAAGGAGCTAAATTAAACTGGATTGTGAAGATACTACACAATGTAGAAGAGTTAGAGTGGGCTGTAATTTGTGTTGTAAAGCATATGATGTCTCTGTCGTGCTGTACCCACTGCTTTAGAAGACACTTGAGTGGTAGCAAATTCCAGTGCTAAAGAATTATTTAAGAAAAAGGTGTACAAAAGGAACGTGTCTTTCAGTGCTCTGTTTTCCTGAATGATGTTGCAGTGTTTTTCAAAATGAAAAAATTGACACCTCAGTTGCTAAGGAGTTCAGTGCCTCTCGGGTTTGGGGTTGTTTTGGTTGCTTCTAATATCCCACTACGTAAAACGTGCTCACGTTGCATGATTTTTGAAAATGATGCTTTGGAGTGAAGAACATCAGGTTTTTCAGATGATTTTGTGTGTGTGTTTTACAGACACAAGTTGGCGATCAGAAGCAACATTTCAGTTTACAGTTGAACGCTTCAACAGATTGAGCGAGTCAGTTCTCAGTCCTCCCTGCTTTGTACGGAATTTGCCATGGAAGATCATGGTTATGCCACGACTCTACCCGGACAGACCACACCAAAAAAGTGTAGGATTCTTCCTTCAGTGCAATGCAGAATCTGATTCCACGTAAGATCCTTTTAATTATTGTACAAGTCCGTGTTTGCTACTAGTTAATCTGTATTGAGAGAAATACAAAAATATAAAAAAATTATTTTAACTACCTTTCTGAAAGAGGAAAGAATTCTTGCAAGGGTTGCATCCCCTTTCCTCCCCACCTTTTCTAATTCCCAAAGCATGAGAGTAATCTTCTCTTCAGGAGGAGCTAAAAGTAGCTTGTGTAGCTACAAGTTCTTGGTAGAATTCAGATGTATTTCTGTTTGATTGCTGAGGAGAAGTCTTTGACTAACAATTTTGTTGGCATGGGGAAAGTTCTGTGTTTATTTCAAATTGAAGTGCCACTGGAGCTTCTCTAACCCTGCTGAGCTATAAATCCTGCCCTGTACACTGTGTGAGCAGGTAACTGCTAGCAATGAGGGAGAGCAGTTTATGAGCTGGTCATCTACTTAAATGGAGTTTGTCACTCATCAAGGGAGATATGAACCTGTACATGTTCTTGGAGTCCTGGGTGCCAGTCAAAATCAGATGTCTTTGACCACTTTTGTAATTAATAGGGAAATTTAAAGAGATAAACACAAATTCCTGAGGCATTACCGCAGCTTATCCAGCTAGAGTGCAGACCCCTCAGAGGTATCCTTTCCAGTTGGGTAACTCCATTCTTGCACCACATCTCACACAACTTATAGTTCGCTCTGAATGTTGCTCTTTTCTTCATTTTTGTAATCTAAAAGGCGAATGCTCAGTGCAGAAGGTAAAGAAGAAAGTTGTGAGTAGTCACAGGAGAAGTGGTTCACATACAAGTCATTGCAGAAAAAAGATAATGTGATCTTCCAAAGTATCAACCGAGGTGCCGCTGGTGCAGCTAAGCGAGCAGTAATGCCACTGCATGAGAGAGTGACAAGACCTTGTCTTAACTAATATTCAGTCTGATAGTCTTGCACAAGTGGGATGAACTTGAACAGGAATGGTCATAAGGAAGTGCTGCTGAGAGTATTGGGGAGTTTATCTTGTGGGAGGGAGGGTATAACTGCTGCCTTCTTTCCTTAGCCAAAGGCTGAGTTCTCATATTCTGAAGACATCAAGGCTACTTTGAGTTGGCCTCCCCGTCTGCACTGAAGTAGATTAGAAATAGCTCACCTTAGAGATCAGTTAGTTTCTTAAACCACTGTTACCTGTGATTACCCTGAAGTACTTTCCTTACAACACTGTTGCCCTCAGAAAATCTCCATTCCAGCTTCACATTCATAATGTGGCTTTAGAAAGCCCAAGGAGTTCATGTCTTCAATAGCAATTAACTAAATCTTAGCAGCTAATAAGAAAAAACCCCAAACGTTCTATATGTGAAAGTAATGTATCAAAAATCCCTAACAAAAAATGATTTTAAAGATGATAAAAAGCTTGGTTTTGAATGAGTTGCAAATGTTTCTTCTGTATTTATAGGTCATGGTCTTGTCATGCACAAGCAGTTCTCAAGATAATAAACTACAAAGATGATGAAAAATCATTCAGTCGTCGTATTAGTCACTTGTTCTTTCATAAGGAAAATGACTGGGGCTTTTCCAACTTCATGGCCTGGAGTGTAAGTAATTGGACACGTATTAATCTATTACTAGATAGGAACAGTTTTGATTTTGCACTCCTGAATACCAAGATATCTGTAGAAAAGGTTTAGGTTTTGTTTTTTTTTCCCAAACTGTTATTTTTTCTTTCACTGCTGAAGATTCTTTTTTAAATTTCTTATAAATGCCTGTACTTAATTATTGTAGATAGCTTTTGCTTTTGTTGTGATTTAAATATTCCATCCTTATTATTTTCTGCATATCTGAATGCTTTTTTGTTTTTACTGTGTGATCATCAATGTCATTCTGAAGCAACACAGATTTTTCTTACATTTCCATGTGTTCCATGTGTAATACCCTAATAATACCATAGTAAGGCTTATGTTGAATTGAGACAGCTTTTTAGCATTTCCAATGCTTAATTTGGCCCTTAATTTTTCATCTGGTTGGAATGTTGTCCAGAAGCAGAGCCTTTGATTAAAGATTGCAGTTATCCACAGAAAATTGACGTACTGCAAAATCTTAAAAGCCAGGAACAGGTTTCCTGTATTGAGGCATTAAAAAAAGAATTAGTGTATTAAGCTGAAAAAGAGCTCTGTTGGTGTCCTTCAGTTTTCCTTCTTCAGTTTATTATTACTGATAGCTCAGGCTTGGAAATTAAGTGATGTCTGACTGGGTACAGTCATGTTGCAAGATCCAGTTTTCATGTTTGTGTGTCATTCTTGTTTCACAGGAAGTTACTGATCCTGAAAAAGGCTTTATAGAAGAGGACAAAGTTACTTTTGAAGTCTACGTTCAAGCAGATGCTCCCCACGGGGTTGCGTAAGTATCTTTTTGTTTAAAAATAAAATTCTTAATTCTAATATTTTTACGTTGCTAGAGATTGTTCAAGTATTTTGTGTTATTAATATTTGTAGCTTTCATTAGACATCCTTACTTTGTCACCTTTAATTGATGAATTCTCACATGGCAATATTTTTTATTAGTCACACTGAGATTTTTTTTTAATAGGTTAAATTTCCATTTGCATTAGTCAACATAATGTTGTGAAACTCAACTTCTTTATGTGTTGATTTGTGATTTAACACCTCTGCAGATCTAGCCTCAACATTTCTGATCTTAATCTGATAAGGGTTTCAGACACAGTCAGGAGAGTCTGCTATCTAACTTGCCTCGGTTTATAGTTATTTTAAAACTGCCTCATCTGAGTTGTTCTACTTCATGGCACTTTTAAATTAATTTTTTGTACTGAAATGTAGACTTGCCCTTAAAAATACAATTCTGGGTTCCAGTGCACTTTCATAGTAAATAATTTTTCTGCTATATAGAAGATCTTTAAAAGAAAAAAACCAAACCAACCCCCTAACAAAATCACAAAGCATTTAATTGCAAAGACGGTTATTACTAGCAGGCAGTAGTGAAATGTAGCCTCTTACTTGAACTTCCATAATGAAGAGTAGCTGATAGGTGCCAGCAGTGCTACCTTAGAACAAATGCTCTTTAATTATAGTTAATGCAAAGCTATCTTGTTTTTAACTACTAACTGTTTTCTAGGTGGGATTCAAAGAAGCACACAGGATATGTTGGCTTAAAGAACCAGGGAGCAACTTGTTACATGAACAGTTTGTTACAGACTTTATTTTTCACAAATCAACTACGAAAGGTAATTAATATGTGAAAGAAAATTAGATTGCTAACTGAAATAGCCAGTATGTTATATTTAGAAATGCTTCAAAACAGAGCCGTTCATTCCTTTTCCCTCCTTTCTCTTCTTAGAGAAGTTATGACTTACATGGTGATGCACATCTTACTTGAGACTGAGTGCAGGAAGCTTCCTTGTATGGTTTGGTGAACATAGGCTCTTGGGTTTTGTGAATGCACACAAAGTACCTGGTGAAGATCTGAGCTTAAGGGGTGTTTCTTAGACTCTCTTACGTGTTAATGTTGCTATGAATTGTTATTTTTTTTTTTAAAAAAAGACTGCATCTTGCAGATAAGAGATGGAAGTAATTTTCCTTTCTTAAAATAGTTAAAATAGAGAAGTCAATTATGACTTTTCTTCCCATAAACAATGTAAGAAGATAAATGTGTATGACCTTTGTAGTTCATTTGTTTTGTCTTTTAATTTATATTATGCAGTTGAATTTTCTGTTATTATGGTTAACATCTCTGTAGTGATGGAAAGCATTATAATTTCAGTAGTTTAAACAACTTAATTTTAGATTTTCTTAATTTGTATGTTTTTTATTTACTGTTTATTTCTTTGCTGTAAGGAAGAACTTGTTTAAATATCAGCTTAATAAGTACTTCATCCAAGCCCAGGTTGAAATATACTGTATAATGGATCATTTTAAAAAAGTGCAATAGCCTTAATGGTCTGAAAACATAAATGCTGACTTGGAGGTGACTATCTGGGTAGTCACAAGGGGGATATACTTGGGAAAAAATGTAACTTGGCACCATTTAGTTTATTGGAGTGACCTATTGATACTAATTCATCCTGCACATTCCTGTGCTTATTGTGTATCTCTTGGTGAAAACAAACGTGTGACTTCTGCTTTCTCTTGAGTATGCCAGTTGTTACATTTCCATTAAGCTTTCTTTTGTCCAAAATTTCCCTTTTGAATGTACTTACTGTTCACTGTCTTAGATTTTCTTATCATCATTTATATCACTGTGGCTTGTAAGTGTCCCAGTTGGGATTTCTTTTTTTCTTTTGCAATGTGCTGCTTACTCTGAAGCGTTGCAAAAAAGAGCGCATCAAACTCCAGTAGACTGTAACTGAGATCTTACCAATGCCACATACAAGAAATAAATACTTGTTTTACGTAGTGCACCTGTTTCTTTTTAGCAAGAGCTATAATTTACTCATTCAGTTTATCATTCATTGTAATGCCTGTTCTTTTTGCTCAGCACTCGTAATGTTTGTGCATTTTATTTTTTTGGACAACTTCATGTTGCTCTTGAAAGAAAAATGTGTTTTTATAATAGCTACATCTAATCCAATTGAGTAGTTCCTTTCAAAACTGTCTTATAGTCAGTAAATCAATATGTACCATGAAGTAATCTTGTTCTGTGAAGAAGAAATTATTTTGGTGATACAGATTTGTTTCAACTGAAGTAATCTTTTCAGGCATTCCCCTGCACTTCCCCGCCCAGCCCCCAAGTAACTATCAGCTTTTAGGGACTTTTAGTATATGGATGGTGACCCTAGGAGAAAGCTGAATTTAGTAGCTGGTAACTGCAGCTTCCTTATGGAAACGTTACTGGACATCAGCTGAAATGCCCCTTTCTGCTCATTCTTCAGATTTTCAGAGCCCCTATAAAGAGAACAGACTACAGTGGTAGTTTTAGACAGTTTTAATACTTACTTGCCATCATTACAGATAAGGAAGAATCAATAGTTGTCTCATCTGAAAAAATGAATTTCTACATTTTTGAGCAAACTTATTCCTCTTAAAACAGAGTAAAACGAAATGTCTAGTATCCTCAATTTGCTTATCACCAATTCCATTATTTCTGTTAATCCTCCTTACTTAAAATAATTAATTTCTATTGCTGTTATTTAGAGCTTTGTTAACAGAAAAGTTGCTGTCAAAAGTAGAGCTGGGAAAGAAATGAACAATAGTAAAGGCAAGCACGTACCTGTGGAAAGTCAGGCTCTGGTGAAGTGTGGGTGAGGATTGATGGAGAGATCCTTTCTTCTTTGCTCTCTTTCCAGACAACAGATGAGAGGTTCTTGGGTATTTGAAACATGACCTCCTTTTATTAGCAACCAGGTGACTTCAGTGATAGGGAATCAAAGGAACTTTCTCTTCAGAGTGTTTCTTATTTGTCTGTTTGTGATAAATGCATGTTTAAATATTGTCCACCCAGGCCTGGGATGGTGGTAACTTCATAAATAGGTCCAGGTTTGATCTTGGACCACATCACATGGATCTTCCTGTTTCTGTCATCAGTGCCTCCAGCCAGTCAGTACTTGCAGCTGCATTCAGTCCATTTTAAAACTCTCTGCTGATTCCCTTGAAAAATTCCCCACAATTCATGAGAATGCTGCACTAAAATCCTAAATACTGGTCCAGTACATTTCTTCCAGATCTGTCTCTCTTTGATTCATCTAATATATTTTACCTCACCTTGAAATTTCATACACAGTATTTTCCTCCCTTCCTCAAGTAAGTGTCTTGAATTTAAGCAGTCTGTTCAAGCTTATCTGTAGCATTCTTTTTCCATGTAAATATCTAAATTTTTTTCTAATCTCTCTTGTGTCTGTTGCTTGTAGTCATTGCCTATACATGTCCCTGTCATTCTTTTGTATTCATTTCCTGAGGGAACTTCTCAGGTGTTAAACTAGTGATTCTGCTTTTTCTCAAATGGATCAAAATGTCTCACTACTTGATCTTAAGGTCAGGCTTTCAGGGTAAGGCATAAAAATAAAGGTTTGTAGAGAATCGTATTTGAAAAGAGGTTTGTTTTAGCTTGGAGAAACACTTAAGCTTTGAGTAATGGGCTTCAGTCATGCTTACATACACGAACAGAAGGAGAAGGGCTGTGTTAAATGTTCAGTTTGTAGTACCACATTTAGAATTTCAGAAGACTTAAAACTAGTGTTTTCATTCAATGGCAACTGGAATGTAATTATAAATAAATGGTAAATTATTATTTTAATATTACTTGAAATATATAGGAAAGGAATTAATTGTCCAGATGGTACGTGAGGAAACCAGATAGGAACTAAATGCAAAGGATTAATTATCAAAGTATTCTGAGCTCCCGTTTATATCTTTTCAATGGAGGTGGCTGTAGCGAAAACCACTAGGTTGACTTCTGTCCTGTTGTAGTATCATCTTAGTTTCTTATGAAGAATATTTAGCGTTTAAAAATTTATTATTTAAAAGTCTATACAAAAGTGGTTCCAAAGTGGTTCCAAAGAATGTTTATCAATATGGT